GCTGTTTTATTGGTGCTGCCCGAAGACGTGATCTTGCAGGCGATATCCATGCTTACCGGGCACTTTGTTTCTGTTTGTTGTGTGTTGCCTCGGAGATCAACACCCCGCATAGATGTACCTTGACATTTATTCAATATGATGGGGGTGCACCACAGACTAGTTGGAGTCCATGAGGACATGTGAAATTGCATGTAGAGAGAGAGAGAGAGAGAGAGGGAGAGAGAGAGAGAGAGAGAAAGAGAGAGAGAGAGAGAGACAGAGAGAGAGACAGAGAGAGAGAGACAGAGAGAGAGAGACAGAGAGAGCATTTATTTATTCAATATGATGGGGGTGCACCATAGACTAGTTGGAGTCCATGAGGACATGTGAAAATGCATGTTGCATGTAGTAGGGTTGTTCATTGTGTTCCGTGCTGGATTCTGACATACCGAAGCATGGCATAGGACAACCGTTTTTGTCCCCCGGTGTGGTACTGTTTTGCAAGGCACTCCTTTGACTGGCGATGATTGGCTGCCATCGCATTCACTAACGACGCACGGGCCGGAGCACTTTTCTCTTAAGCCTTTCTATTCGCTGCTCTCTGGTTTTGATCTTCTTTGCACCGGCCGCACCGCTATAATGCCGCGTAAACTCGAGAAGAAAACACAAAAATATAACCTTGTCAGACGAAGCGTCCCAAATCATATCCGTTGGTTGTTTAATTTCCTTCTGCAATCCCTCAGGAGGCGGCGAGGCGGGCGACCCCAACATCGACGAGGGTGGGATGCTATATTTCGCTGCAGTAGCCCTCACGGAAGTTGTAATCAACTCTCGTGTTGTGACGTGGGAGACCATAAGAATGTTGTCATGATGTGGGGCTCAATACTGACGGCGGTTGTGCTGGCGGCAAGAAGCGGATGCATCCCGTTTGATTTTGATGGCGGCAACCTGGCTCATCTATGCAAGTGCGCCTTTGAGAAGTGCTCACGGTGAGTCTTTCTCTTCCCAGAACGATCAGCGCCTTGTCGATGAATGGTAGCGTGTCAAAAGTTTCAAGCGTTTACATAAGCGCACAGACTTGTGAGACGAAGAATATGTGTAACCCCCCGCTCATCTCTTGGCTCAACACCACACGTTGACACAATACATTGCTGAAATCTCGCACGCTGCATATATGCTCGCCCCCGCTCCTTCTGTCGATTTTTTGCTGCGGGATTGTTCCAGCATTCTGACCAACTGCGTGATCTGGCTGTTGCTGGGTAAGCAGTGGCACTCTTGGTCGGGAGCGGGAGGGGGCACGAAAAGAGACGGCTTCTACGGATACAGCTTTCCGGCAGTCACCGTCGTCGGCGTGATGGTTCTCTGCAAGTACGCGGAGCGGGTCTACTGTTGCATCGAGGAGACTCGCAAGGCCGTGGACCCAAACGCAACTGGCGCCGCGTGCGGGACACCCTGCTTACGGTCGGATTGTTCGGTCTGAACATCGCCTCCGTGCTTGTCACAGGAGTGAGCGTGCCTGCGCGCGTGCTCACCCGTCGTGTATGCCGTTGCTGCTCGGCTGATGGCGCAGCTTGGTGCTTTTTCTCTGCTATCAGCTCACCCCTGTCGGTTGCCAAAGCGCGGGAACAACCGCCCGATGCTGTGGGGTAGATGCACCATATCGTCGAGGGCAACCTTTGCGTATTTATTTTTGTGTGCCCTCCCCCTATCAGTCTTCCTCCTCTCTGCCCCAGGTGTCACCAGCTTGGTAGTGGGCTTGAGGGCGACGGTGGTCGCAGCCGGAAATGATGCCCTCGGTCAACGAGGTGCTAGTGCTAGTGCGTGTGAAGCCTTCACTTCCGTGATGAAGTCCGCGCAGAAGAGGCAGATTCGCTTTGCGCTCGCGCCCCTCGCCCTACCGGCTTTCCTGATCGTGGTGGCGTTCACAATCTGCGAGTGGCCCGTCCAGGCCTCCGCCGGCATGCTGATCATCATGACGGCATTCAAGGTCGCTTTGTTCGTGGGTCATGTGTAGTATGGTGCCCCCGCCGCTGCCCCCGCCCCTGCCAATGCACTTTCGTGGTTTCCAGTCACTCTCGCGGTCGGTGGGTGGCTCGCGTTCCTATGGACCGAGTTCAAGCTGGCGGATAAACGGGTGTACACCATGGTAGGGGTGACCACATCATCGGCGATTGCCACGGCGCTCGCCGTGACGACACCCGGGCAAGCCAGGAGGCTCCAAGGAATTTTCGTTGTGTTCAACTTGGGTGTCATGGTTTGCGTGCTGTGCGTGCCTGTCAACGATGCCGCTAATGCCGTCAGTGCTTTGTCTCTCCTGGATGGGAAAGGTTGGGGCTTCTTTCTGAAAGGTGAATTCTTCGAGAGGATGGGCGCAGCATTCACAAACACGTCCACGAGCTGCTGATCCTCCGTACAGCATGAACAGGGTCATGTCTCAGGCTTCGCCGTTGTTGTGGTTACGTATCAACGAAGCGTATAGGGTAGGGAGATCTGACGTGTGACGCCAGGAAGAAGATGCCGCAGCATCCACTCCACGCGAACGAAACCGAAAAGAGCTGGTCATCACTCGAATCGGACGATATGTCGTGGGTACTTGATTTGGAACGATTGCTACTGCAGTTTAGTACTACTGCAACGTTGCTTCACTGCCCACGATGCTTGACCGCTAGGAAAGCATTGTTGGTAAGCAGCGCGTCACGAATGGGGGATGAGAGGGCAGATGGGGGGAGGGAGGAGTACCGTCACCGCCGCCGCCGGTACCCGGTCAGCAGGTGCCGGGGGAGGCATCGCCGTTGACAGCAGCTGTTGGAATAATTGGTAGTTTCAGCATTCGGCAGTCAGCATGACTGCTACAAATATTGGCAGTGTCGCTATGCCATGTCGTAAGTAGAAGTATTTTTTGTGGTTGATGATCTACGTTCGTTCATTTCTAGAATATGCATTGTCTAGATTTCCAGGAATGATCCGTTTTGCAAGAAGCTCATATTTGCATGCGTGGAAGGACACGTTGTGCCGACGCAAGGAACTAATACTTGGGTGCGTAGAAGGAGATACATGTGCCGTCACAAGTAACTTAGACTTATGTGCCTAATTTAATTGTTGCAGCAGAATTTGCAAGTAGTTCGGTTGTTGAAGCTGTATTCTGCGTCTAGACGTACGTCAGTGCAAGCAATCACTTACGCTTGCAAGTACAGACTCTCATGTGTTGAAGTCGTACTTGCCACTAACCTGTTTCAGCTTACCGTGCCGTACTCTGACTGCGGGTTATTAGTCAACGTTGTTGTTGGATAGGTGTGATTCCATGATTTCGAGGATGAGCGCGTACCCACCCCATCTTTTCACTCTCTGTTTTTCACGGAGATGTACTTCGCTGGTTTCACTCAGCGTTTCTGCATCCTTGATTAAGTAAGTACATCTCCAAATCATCTTCTTCTCCTTCGGGTTTCCTGCGTACTCAAGGGCCACTGCACTCGTAATAAAGAGTCCGGCGGCACAACAAGTGAGTTGGTGCGCCGCGCTGCAGCTATACAGGATAGGCACAGGGACACACGCAGCACTTGAGTTTTGCCTTTGACCTGTGTCTATGAGATTGCACGATCGGGTGCCCTGCTTATTTATGTACATCATCAGTGGCCATTGTTTCATAGGGCTTGTTCTGCTCGCGCAACACAATGCGGAGGGGATTCGCACCAACTCAAGAATAATGTAGGACATACCCTTTCGACAACACAGTAGTGAATAACAATTTTCTTCGAGAACCGGTACAGGACTATCGGCAATATATCCACAACAGCTTAGATTCCCAATAGCAGCTACGTTGACAAGTCCGGAATGGGGGAGGAGAGGCAAGGAGGGAGGAGTACCGTCGCCGCCGCTGCCGCCGGTTACCGGACCGTAGGTGCTGGGCGGTGGGTGATAACAGCGACCAGAGCGTGAGAATAGGAAAACTCATCGCGTATACACAACAGGCCCGGAGATAGGAAACGTCAAATTGGGGTCCTCAATCCCTTGTATTGGTCGAAGGACCACCTTATTTCGTCCACGCGCTCAGACACGCAAAACAAGTGAACCGCTAGCAAGCGCATCTCGCTGAGATACCAAGAAGACCCAGGTTTGCGAACTGGTGGCTCTCTCGCACACTTGTGGTACTACTGTACCACTCACGAATGGAGTTATCATGATCCGTTTCAGCAGCTAAACGCTTGCATGTACGAGCTCGGGATACCGTCGCAGGCGGCCGATACTTGTCCTGCCCCCAGAAGCCCCGTGAGTACCACGCCGTGCCCGGCCAGAAAGCAACCAACATCCTGACCAGCCTTTCGAGAAGGAGAAGTGAGATTCATCTTGCTGAAGATTGGGGTGTGTTCGTTGTGTTGAGGCCGAACAAACGGTCGAAGGCAAGGAAGAAGAAACGAAGAGATTGAAAAACATAGTCTCCGCGAGACTAGGTTGTATGGCGGGAGTGGTAGGGGCACAAAGCCCTTGTCGTGTGGGCATCTCGGTTGAACTTCATTGTTTCGAGGCGGCGCGTTACGTGACCTTTTCGAGAGGACTCCAAGGGCTAACGTTGAAGAGAGCGCGACACTTCTCTGCCCTCGGGTTTGGGGCTGCTGCTGGTTGTAAGATATACTCGCAGCAGTCTCTAGACGTGAGGATCCTCGGGGATACGTGTTGAGAATTTCGTATGTTGATGTGTACCACCGATGCAGATACGGGGACCCTTTTGGCCTTGGTTGCGGTGTTGAAGGCTCGCGCATCTAGCGCACTGCTTTCGCTCTCTCCACCGCTACCGCCGTCTCTCTCCAATCAAGTTTCCTTCTCCAACGCTTTCTCCAACGCCAACGCAATCTCAATCTCTACCTCTCTCTCTCGGCCTAACACGGCCGACTACCCACTGCCCCAACAGACGCCCAACACGGGCTTGCTGCACCCCGCGTAGTTTACCTTTCACACTAGTGCGAATCAGATTCAGATTCTGCGCGCGGTCGTAGTACACCGGGGGGTTGTGCATTCACGCGCAATCGGTAGACTCCCACAACAAAAACATCATGCCTACCTCGGAGGATTCCGAAATCGACCTCTCCACCCTCAGCAAAGAAGAGCTGCAACAAGAAGTTCAACGAAGGGTGGACGCCCAACTTGCGAAGGAGAGAGCAGAAATCGCCCCACTGCCAGCAGAACAGCAGTCACCTACCATCGGCGAGCAGTCGCTACGTCCCACACCAGCCGACATACCGCCCACCGGCAACCAGCCTTCACCCTCCAGCCAGGGATCCCAATCATTCAACAATCCCACCAACGTCGCCAACATCGTGGCGCAAGCGGTCAAGGCGACAGCCGAGGCCATGTCTGGACATCAGGGCTTTGCCCACACAGGCACGTTTCGTGTCAACCCCGGCTCTGACATAGACCCTTGGCTTGGAAGTGTGAAGAAAGAGCAGGATTTGTATATTATGTTTGATGTTTTTCGCAGTAAGATGGTGTCGTATTTTCAGGAAGAGGGTGTATATGATGTATTAGGGATCACTGATGTCAAGGTTGGCAAGAGGGGTGTGGATCTAGCAGAGCTAAGGGGCATCTTCGGGACTGATGTGGTGGACAAGTCGTTGAAGTTGTGGAATATTATCATCAGCAAGATTCTATACCCTCCGATCCAGAACTTGATCATGGCATGTGAGAGTCCCCAGCAGGGGTGGAAGATCGTCACGAAGTTCTACCAAGAGAAGAAGGAGTCTGAGAAGACTAGGCTTGAGCAAGAGTGGTTGGCGTTAGAAATGCGTGAGTCGGAGAACCCACAGGATTACATAGCAAGGTCGGAAGCTCTTCGATTACGTCTTGCCTCAGTAGGAACTATCAAAGACACAACACATGCTTACAAGGACGTTGTGCGCGGCCTTCCCCCATCGTATGCCGTGCAAAAAGGAATATTGCTAGCAAGCGATGTCGTGACTTTGCATGCCCTTGAGACTGTGGTGAGGGACGCCCACATGGAGATGGAGCGCGAGAGGAGCAAGGAGCAGAGGCGCGAGGCGGAGCTCGCCCTCGTCGCGTCCGGTGCGAGCCGGAGCGGCGGGGGCAATGGGGGGGCATCCGGGGGACAAGGAGTAGTCGACGGTCAAGACCGTGAAATCCGTGATGGCGAGAGAAACCGTGACGTGTTCGTCGAAGATCCCACCGGTTTTTGCCGCTACCACCAGTCCGAACTACACACGAACGGGCAATGCCGTTACCAGCAGCATCTGCGGCGGACTCGCACGAGAGCAGCCGCCGAGGATCGCCACGGAGGTGGCGGCGGAGGCCGTGGCGGCGGCTGGAGCCAGCGAGGAGGAAGACCGCCGTCGGGAGCCGGCCGGGGTGGCGGGCGTTGGGTGAGAGTTGAAGGGCAGCAGCACCACACCGGTCATGGTGGAGGTGTCTGGAGCCAAGCCTCAGCCCCCCCGCGACCTCTTCGTGGACGTGGACCTGGTGGTCGTCTGGGGCGGCACCCGGGGGGTCGAGGGCCCTCGGGACGCCACAGCAGCGACGGGCGTGCCGAGAGAGAGCGGGCAGGGAGAGGCCCGGGGCACGCGCGTTCTGGCCACGGAAGAGAGCAGGCGTACGTTGTGTACTACGCCCACGATGATGGTGGCTACTACGAAGACTATGGCGACTACGACGACGGCTACTACTACGACGGCGGCTACCACGACGCCGGGTACGCCCACTACGCCGGCGGTGGAGACAGCTACAGCTACCCCTCAGGGTACGAAGACAGCCGTTCATCTGACGGCGGCATCCACTACGTCTACTACCCTCCCGCCGGCGAAGATTCGTCATCCGAGCAGCAACGTCAGCCCCCCCCCGCGAGCAGCAGCAGCACCGCTTCCTCCTCGTCCTCTACTCCTTCTCCTGGAGTGCCTCCATCTTCGGGCTACCTCCACCTCTGCACGGCACAATCGGTGCCCCTAGGCAAGTCTCACCCTGACGATTTTTTCAGTAGGATAGGAGTGACGATAGGAGTAGAGTCTGCTTCTAGTGCTTCGTCTTTGCTGAGTGTGAAATCTAGTGAGGGGCCGCCTGGTAGCGAGAGATGGGTAGCTGACTCAGGAGCCAGCAACAGTTTCACCAACAGTGACTTGCACATGTACGACTTGCAGGAGATACCCTCGAATAGGCAGTATGTCATTGTAGGAGATGGTCGTCTGCTGAAGGTGAAAGCAATCGGTAGCATCAACCTCAGCTTTTTCCAGGAAGGTGAAAACGGTGTGCCAACGACGATGTATGTGAAGCTGACTGACGTGTCTGTGGTCGAGAGTCTGAGTTTCAACTTGTTTTCGACGCATGCTGTTTCCCTTCGGCAACGAATAATCCATGACGAGCGTGGTGTGACCCTGCGTAACGGACTGCTGTTTGCTAGAGAGGAGAAAGCTTCTGCCGCCTATGCAATGCGCATGCCTTACGACCCGTCTGCGATTGTGGTAGACTCTGCTGCCTTGCCTGCCTTCGTGAGATCCCCCGTTACCACCCCCGCCGTTGGCTCCACGCGTTCCTCTTCCCAAAAAGGGGGCTCCGCGGAATCATTGGTGTCCGTATTGCGTGTTCCTTCCGCAGGCTCTGCTACCGTAGTACCTTCGAGTGAGAGCGTCCCGCCCACTGGTCCAACCAGTGTAGTACCTGCGAGTGAGAGCGTCCCGCCCGCCGGCTATGCCGACGTAGTACCTTCTTCGGCTTCCGGTTTTGAGTGTGTGGGTACTTTCCCGGGTATGGATCTTGGAGATACGAGTGTGCTCACCGACGAGCAGCTCATGGATGGCTATGATGACACCCCACATCAAGATTTTTTCCCCGTATTTATCCCAGAGAGTGACGCTGCGAATGTGGCTGGTGTTTTGGATAGCATTGACGGAGGTTCTGATTTTGACTTGGGTGCGGCCGCGCTTGGCCCTGGTGCGTCCCCGTTCACTCTTGGATCGACCGAAAAGTCCGTTGACATCAACCGCTTCCACCGCTCCCTTGCCCACGCTTGCGAGCCTCTTTTGAGAGAAACTGCCCAGCAGAGAGGCATCGTGCTCACCGGCAAGCTGGAACCGTGCACGGACTGCATGAAGGCGAAGGGCAGGCGAGCGTCGGTGCCGCGGGGGCCGGGAGCGAGGGCGTCCAAGCCTCTCGGGCGTGTTCACCTGGACCTGTGTGGACCGCTGGTGCCTTCCCTGGGCGGCAACCTCTACCTGTTCGTCGCCGTGGACAGCGCCTCGCGGTGGAACAAGGTCTACGGTCTCCGGCGGAAGTCCGACGCGCTGGCGGCAACGAAAAGGCTGCTGGCGGACGTGGGGCGGTACGACCTCGGACGAATCGAATGTTTCCGCGTCGACAACGGCACAGAGTGGACCCGCGGCGATTTCCGGCGCTTCTGCGACGACAACGGCATCGGCGTCGAGTTCACCCCGCCCGGCGTCCCGCAGTACAACGGCGTCGTCGAGAGCGCCATCTGGCGCATCATGAAGGCCGGCATGGCCGCCCGCCGCAGCGCTGGCCGTGTGTTCCACGTCGACTTCGCCTCCATCCCCGGCCTCGACGAGCGTGGTGACCGTCTTTGGATGGAATCGGCGAAGTGGGCCGCCGACGCTCTCAACCAGTCGGCGACCAAGGCCAACCCCGGGCGGCGCTCGCCGCACGAGATGTTCACCGGCGAGCAGGGGCCGTTCCGCGTGCTGCCGTTCTTCCAGCCCGGCTTCATGCGCGAGGACCGCCGCACCAAGCTCGACGACCAGGCCACGCTCTGTTACTACCTGAACGGCGGCGACAACCACCCGAGCGGCACCGTCAAGGTCCTCAAGGCGTCCACCGGCCGCGTCGTCTACACCAACAACGTGTCGTGGGTGACGTCGGCGCCAGCCGGCGAGGGGGGTTCCGCTGGTATCACCGCTGCGCCGACACCCCCCCCGTTCACGCCGCCGGTCGTCTCGATCAACTTTGGCCCAGCACCGACGCCTTCGACCGCCACACCGCCACCGCCAGCGCCCACGCCGTCGCCCGCTCCCGCTCCCGCTGCCTCTTCGACCCCTGCCGCAACGCCGCCGCCAGCGACCACGCCGCCGCCCGCTCCCACGACTTCACAGCCGCCCTCTGCCACTTCGCCGTCACCGTCGGCGACCCCCGCTCCTGGCAATCCGTCCTCTGCCTCTCCGCCGTCACCGTCGGCGACCCCCGATCCATACCAGCCGCCGCCGCCGCCGGACCCCGCGATGCCCCCGCTTACGGCTCACGCCATGCGGCAGCTTCGCCCGGGTACAAAGGCCGAGGGTATGACAGACCCGCGGCTGCCAAGCCGTACGAGATCGGGCACGAGGCACAGCACAGGACTCATCTCGATGCTAGACAGGAACACTCTGGTGTCGATGCTGGAGGCTCGGAGCGCGGTGGATAAGGAGCGCAGGGAGCTGGGGGGGGCGGAGGCCGGAGAGCCGGGGGGAACGGGGGCCGGAGAGCAGGCGGGAGCACTCGCAGCAGTGGACCCGGGGGCTGCAGGAGCGGGCTTTCCACTCGCATTTGCCACGCTCCTCGCCAACCGGGAAGACATCGACGCCACGCTGCGAGACCAGCGCCCGCCGGAGCAACGCCCTGACCTTCCGCATTGCCAGGCCAGCGACCTTCGTGTCCCCAAGAGCTACAAAGAGGCCATGGCGTCGGAGCACCGGCACCTTTGGAGCGACTCTATGCAAAGGGAGTTTTATGGCTTGTTGGAAGCGGGGACTTTTACTCCGGCGAAGTAGCAACTAGTGGAGAACGCAATTAACGCTAAGTGGGTATTCGATTGGAAGGCAGATGAGTTTGGATGGCCCACTAAGGTTAAGTCGAGACTTGTAGCGAGAGGTGATATGCAGAGAGAGTACATTGACTTTGGAGAGTTGTACGCGCCTACCGTTTCTGTTTCATGTGTTAGGATGTTGGCTGCTTTGGCGTGCGAGTTGAACCTCGACTTGTGTCATTTCGATGTTGAGCAAGCTTTTGTGCGTTCGGAGTTGGAGGAAGACGTGTACATGCGTTTGCCGCAGGGATGTGGAGCTCTATCAGGAATGATTGTAAAACTAGGCAAGAGTCTGTATGGCTTAAGACAGGCATCTAGGCAGTGGCATGCAATGCTGAAGAGGTGTTTGGTGGCGTTAGGATTTGAGCAGTGCATGGCCGATGCTTGTGTGTTTCGTTTGATTGAGGATGGATGTGTTGTTTTGATTTTGGTAGTACATGTAGATGACATCTTTGCTGTTGGAGAGAGGGAGAGATGTGATAAGTTTGGCGCTGACCTTAACAAGTCCGTGCCAGTGAAGAACCTGGGAGAGTTGAGATGGTATTCTGGGTGCTTTTACGAGAGGAATAAGGAGACCGGTAGGTTGACGATTTCTCAGCAGACTTTCACGGACGAGCTAGCAGCAGAATATGGAGTAGTGGGAGGTAGGAGCGTTCCGATGTCTTCGGGTGTGAAGCTTTCTGATTTTGATGCGGATGAGGTGGCGACAGAGTTTCCGTTTCGTGAGCTGGTAGGATCGTTGATGTGGCTGGCGACTCAGACTAGACCAGACATTGCGAATGCAGTAAGGGCAGTAGCTAGGTATTGCGCATCTCCGAAGCTGGTACACTGGAATGCAGCGATGGATATTTTGGGCTATGCGAGGAGGACGAGTCACTTTGGTATTTCGTTTCAGAGAGGTACGGTAGAGGGATTCAGCTTGCAGGGATACGCTGATGCGGACTTTGCAAGCAAGGCAGCAGACCGTAGGTCGGTATCAGGGGGGATCGTGACGTGTGGAGGAGGCGCTGTGTCTTGGTTTTCCAGAACGCAAAAATGCGTCACGCTTTCGACGACAGAAGCAGAGTACGTCGCGCTAGGCGACGTAGTGAAGGAGATTTTGTTTTTGAGGCAGATTTGGCGTTTCATGTTGCCGCAGGTCGGCATGCCGTGCATCCCCGTCTTCGAGGACAACCAGGGGGCGATTCAACTAGCGCAGAACCCCATCTCAAACTCGAACTCGAAGCACATAGATGTAAGGCACCATTTTCTCAGGGAACTGGTAGAGAGGAAGGAGATTTCGGTGATTCACGTGCCGTCTCCGTACCAGCGTGCAGACTTTCTTACGAAAAGTTTGCCCAAGGATGCGTTCGAGTCTCACCGTGATTTTGTGATGAATTTGGCATGAGTTTTTATTATTTTTCTGATGAGTTTGGTTTGGCTTTCGATTTGATTGTTTTGCTTTCCGCGCTAAGTTATTTTCACGCGCGATGCAGCAGTATTCATGTTTCTTGGACTTGGTTTTCGTGTCATATATTTTGGAAGTAATCTTGATCGCATATATTCAGGAAAAGACGTCTTTTGGTTGAGATATCCGATATTGTTTCGTAGTTTGCAGTGAAGATACTGTTGCGAGCAGGGGGGATGTAAGATATACTCGCAGCAGTCTCTAGACGTGAGGATCCTCGGGGATACGTGTTGAGAATTTCGTATGTTGATGGGTACCACCGATGCAGATACGGGGACCCTTTTGGCCTTGGTTGCGGTGTTGAAGGCTCGCGCATCTAGCGCACTGCTTTCGCTCTCTCCACCGCTACCGCCGTCTCTCTCCAATCAAGTTTCCTTCTCCAACGCTTTCTCCAACGCCAACGCCATCTCAATCTCTACCTCTCTCTCTCGGCCTAACACGGCCGACTACCCACTGCCCCAACAGACGCCCAACACGGGCTTGCTGCACCCCGCGTAGTTTACCTTTCACTGGTAATGGTTCCTAACGCAGTAACGAAAACAAAGCGGCGGAACAGATTAGTGTACAGTCTTACAGCAGCACCTACGCACGTAATGTGCAAAAATACTACACAGTCCGCGCACCTTTTGCTTCCGCTTTTGTGAGAGAAAGTTTGATCGAGAGCAAGTCAAAGGTAGTCTCGAGAATTACGTAGGACCCACGGAACGGCAGAGGATCGAATGCCCGTAAGGAAAAATGTTTTTATTCTGATCCGACGCAGGATCTGCGAGATCTACGACAATGGGGGTTCCGCGGAGGGTGTTTTGGGGGTGGACAAAACACGGTTGCCGCCATGGTTGCACCGCCGCGACAGCGACCAGCGAAAACAACACACACAGGGAACAGGGAACAGACTTCGCCCGAGGGAAGCTCCCCACAGTGCAGTAGATAGATGGCAGTATTCCTACGAAGGAGCTTGGTCGGGTCGAAAAGGGAGCTTGCGCTTGCCGTTTGTTCCCGCAGCCAGCGTGGGCAAGCTCCTCTGGCAAGGTTGCTAGCCGGAGCTTCGCCCCGCCAGGTGCACTCAGCGCTCCCAGCAAGAACATCTGTTCCTGTGGATGGCGGTGCTTCCGGAACTGCTGCCGGCGCTGCTAGACCGGAAGACTCCATTGAAGTAGCAACGAGTCAATTGCAGGAGGAGATGTTCAGAGTACTGTGTGAGCCGCGACCGAGCAGTCCATCACTGGTGGCGTTGGTGCGGGGCATGGTCGCTGCCGGAGCTCAGCCCTCGATTGAGGCGGTTGAAGCCTTGGCCGACCACTTCTCAGAAGCCAAGGACGCCAGGAGTATCAAGGTAGGCAGTGGCAACTTGGCAGTGGGTTGTGGGGGGATGCACACGTTGACTGAACAGACAATTGGGTCAAGCTTGATGTTTCGAAGTGGGTTCAAGGTATGAGTACACTACTGCGGTACAGTGGTACATTGCGGAGCCTGTACAGCACTTGATCCCTACTGTGGAACCTGCTACATACACGGAGAATCTTGCTGTAGACTACAGCAGTACCAGCATCATGTACCGCAGGAACCAGTACGACGTCACAACAGTTGAAGCCAATGCAGGTCATTGCACACCCCCTGAATAAACCTTGAAAACTCCATAGCTATGCCAACCGACTGACAGCATAAATGGGAGCCCGAAATACGTGTACGTCTACCTTGGTAGTAGTAGTTCAGTCCATCTCGACGAGATCTTTCCGAAATCCGAATCCACCGATCAATGCGGCAGTTGTATCCCCTTTCTCTTGCGGAGCAATGGAGCTATGAACCTCGTTGCAGGGTGTGTACAATGAACCGCATGCTTCCGGCACTGCAGCTGAGAATGTGCCAAAAAGTAAACGTATCACACTCAATCGCGAGTCGCTATTTTGCTATATTGTTTGTCTTCTAGTTTAATGGGCACCACTGCTCGAATCGCTCTCTCTCTCACACACGCTTTCTTTGTTCTCTTGTCGCTGGCAAACACAGCGCCCTTGCAAGGCGCACCCACTTCACCTTCCCCTCCCGTCACTTTCCCTCCAGGCCGTACTATCCTTGCTGAAACCCTCGAAGCCTGGCCTGACCGCAGTGGATCCGATCGGCATCATGTTTTCCCGGTTGGTTCGAGCGCACTGCCGGCGTCAAGACGTGACCAGCGCACTAGCGGAGGTGGTGGAGATGGAGGCAACGGGCCGAGAGGTTGACCTTGAGGTTTACTCGGATTTGCTGCACGGGTGTGCGATCGCGAGACCACCTCTCCTTGGGGAAGTGGAGGCTGTGTGGACGCACATTCAGGTGAGAGCCGTACCTGCGCACGCGCGAGTCTCGCAGGGTGCTCTGGTGAGGATTGCCACGTCGCTTGCAGACCACGCACGAAGCCGCTACATGGTGCTCGCTGGTCCCCACCTACTTGGATAGATTCCGGTTTGCGCGTGCCCTAAAGGGTGGGGATAGCGAGACAAGCTCAGCGTATGTAGGTGACCGGCCCCACGACCACCGCTGAGGTTTCAGACACGATGCAAGATTGGACAGCTGTGTAGGTGTGTTTTTTTTTTCTCCCAGAATCTTGTGCGCTGGGCGGAGAGCCAGGATCCTCGATTGAAGCAACAGCGTATGCGTTGAGCCCATGTCGATAGGGTGTTGAGGACAGCTGGTGCGACACACTGCATCTTCTTTTACCTCTTGCATCCTTGAGTCGGATGACTGACGTACCCTTGCTGCGGCTCTCCGTTCCTCCTCCATTAACCCCAGGAGCGAGGGCTTACGACAAGGGGAGGCGTTCAGCAGGATCTTTTCGTTGGCCTCATGACAACCCACGCCAACAGCGCGGGATACGCTCTATTCGGCGATAACCAACAAGACCAGCAGCAGGTGACAACTGATTGTATGGTTTGTTCTCAAAGTACAAGCGTTAACTCTGTAGTAGGTCGCAAGGCAGCCCCCCAGCGAGTACTGCTGCAGAGTCGCGACGGCAAACTAAGCTCTCACTGGTTGGAGCATGCCACACGTTGTGCGGGTACAAAGTGTGATTGCCCCTGCCGTGCGCATCTGTCTTGTTTTACTTGTCTCGCGGTTTGTTTCGAATTTCGGGAAGGCACTATTCGCTGTCGTGCCTCTGTGTCATGTGGTGACGGCTTTGAGCAGAAAAGCCTACACCTGCGACCCGCAGGTTCGCGTCTTGGCTGCGATGCGAACTAAAACAACCGACATTCTATTCACCACGTGTTCGTGAGCGGACTGTGCTGGGAGCGTGCGGTGTGCCCCACCCCCTGAAGGGACACGGCCTTCCGCTCTCGGTGCCGAGTGCAGCTGGCGAGTCAAATAAATTCCAGCACTGCTCCTTACAGTCCACAGAATTCGCGTACCCAGGCTGTTATTTATTTGAAAGGCGGTAGCGTTTGGGCATCCTGATAACAGAAAAGCTCTTTTATCGTATCGCTGACAAACTGATACCCACCCGCATGTGCGTACGCCCGTGTTGGGTATGTGCAGGTCCCGCTCGAAAAGGTCGACGAAGCTTGGGACGGCATGCTGGAGGCGCTTAATGTAGCAGCAAGCGCATCGACAGATCCAGATAGAACTGTCGATGAAGGGGGGCTTGTGACTCCCGAGTCGTGGATGGCGCGAGCCGCCGCGCTGGCCCTGTGCGTCCGGGACTCGGGGTTGGTCTCAGGTGCTGCCATGTCAAGGTGAGGTTGTCGGGTACGGCACCCGTCCGCGGGGCGTGGCGGCTGCAGCAAGCAAATGAGTTTGGCCGCACTTTCGGCGCTTCTCTCATCGTGTCGGCGCCTATTCGGTACATGCCAGATTCCAAATTTCGTCGTGGCCCTCAAGTCGAGTAACGTAGCTCTTGCCGGTTGGCTGTGACATGCACTGTTTTCGGCGTGTCTGTTTCCGGCTCTCGACGGAAATGCGAACGAGAGAGAGAGGGCTCGGCCGGGCAATGGGTTGAGCAGCTGACCCGTGTACTGTCGAGCGCGTAACCCGTTGTTCCTCGCTGGGTTGCCGCATGTTTCACGCACGTGCCTGCTTCTCGCTGAGCAGAGAAGCTTCAAAAATGTCCTGTTCTGACAGAGAGAGATGCATGTTTGTCACAGATGTTGCTCTTGGGGTCCTCTTGCAGCTTTTGGGGTGCGTCTGCTTGCCCGCCCCCCCCACAGCGCGTGTCGTGCCTCGACTTGTCTTCAGAGTTTGAACCTTCCTTTCCTTAGTTGCTTACCCCCCTCTACCGCCTTCCCACTGTTGGTGCAGGTCTATGGATGCTTTCCGATCTTACCGGAGATACGGCGGCAGTTTTGCCAGCAGGGAAGACATCTTTGGCCTCGCTGAGGTTGTGCGTGGCCTGGCCCGGTGCGGGCGACAATCGGAGGTACGCCTCGCCGCTCCTGATTACATGTAGGCAGTGATATGGGACTTTGTTTTGTTTTATTTCATCTCTCACATTGTTGCGCCGGGCCGTTTGGCCCATGGCGGCAGCACGTCTTCGCATGTTGAAGAGGGTGCATGCAGAAAATCCTCTCACGGTTTTTCCCCTTGTTGCCTGCGGCTACAGCTCTGTGTGTCACGTTACAAGGAGGTACGAAATGTCCATTTGTATTGTTTGCGTTCCCGTTGCACCCACTTGGAATCAGGTGGAAGCCATCCTCTCGGATCTACGGCAAGATGCCGAGAAGGCCGAGCGAAATGCTTCCGCAGTGGCTGCGAGCACCACCAAGACAGCCGTCGACAAGGCAAAGACGAGGAGCGCCGCTACCCGAGCCGCACTCGTCTTCGACGAGCTTCTCCGGGCGCTCGGCGCTAGGGGGCGCGGCCTCGATTCGGGAGACCGACTGTACGGGCTGTCGCTGCTGCGGGTTGTGGACGACGTTGCTGCGCAGGCCCACGCTTGCGGAGAACGCAGTCAAGGTGCGCTATACATATCTGTAGCTTTGGAGATACTCTTGGTGGATAGCGGGGCTCATGACATGCACTGGTGCCGCCAGGAGATGGGTTATGAGTGTGCAACGTTTCAGCCTTCACGCTTCTGAACTTCCTGGGTTCTCTCCGATTCTCTGTTCCTGTTCGTGCGTGTATTGCTTATGAGGTTGATTGATTTGATGCATGCATGCGTTCTTGTCAAGTTTGTCACGGCCGTGTGATTCTTCACCAAAAGTCCCTCCGTTCTGTCATGCTCCCGCTCGGCGTGGCGCATGTTTACCGCGCTCTGCCGCACGTTCGCATGCCTCTACTGGATCCAGGGGACGTTGACTCGCGACTGACGGCAACGCTACAGGCCGTCCTGACGACGTCACGCTTCCTCGACCGCGAGGATGCCACCTCTATCAACAAGGCCATCCGCACCGCCTTGGATTCCGCGGCAGCAGCTATTGCTGCGGAGGTGGGGGGAAGACACCCCGTCGAAGATTTGCAAGGCGGGAGTGAGCCCGAGCTGCGGCGGGAGTGGGCGGGTCCAAATTTGGCGGCGCTGTCTCTCTTGGCCCTGTTGCACGTGTCCCAGAACCGGTGGGAAGGAATCCCTGCTGCCATTGATGTCCTGCAAGAGATGGTGAGTGACTTGAGAGAACAAGCGCCTCCCTGTCTCACGCCGGGCGATGCCGCGCTGCTGTACAGTTAACCTACATGAACACTACGTCTAGGTCGGACTCTGTTGTTCTGATCTTGTGTAGCCATGAAAAATCTCGGGCTTGCTGCCGATGGATCGTCACGAAACGTGAAAGAATAGGCTTTTGGTTGTTGGAAATAGGGTCGTCGGGGAAGCGCCTCTGTGACCAACCCCCATTCCACCGGGACCACGGGCACACTGGGCGTTTGTTTGATATTTCAGGCCGACTAACGTCGAAGCGTTGTAACGAACGCGACAAAAAAAATATCGCCCCCGCTCGTGAAGTGACATTTCTCCTCCCCCATTCCCCGCGCTTGCCCATGCCTATGCTGCTTCCCGCCGTCCTCCGCTTTTTGAAGCACGACCGCGGGCTCACCCCGCCGGCCACGTTGGCTGCCCAGCTGGAGACCGTCTTCAAGCGCCATGGCACCGTCCGACAAAAGCGGCGGTCTTCGTTCCTCCTCGCAAGAGCGCTGGACGGCTTCGGCCCTCCTCGGGACAACAACAACGACGATGGCGCCGATGGGACTGCCGCTGAGCAAGAAGGTGACGCCCGGCGCGTCGGTAGGGTTGGAGGGGCGATTCGCGGCATGGTGAAGAGCTCGACCACCAGAGGGGTAGGCGAGTGGGACGCCCAAGAACCTCTCGGTGCCGCCGAGAAGTATGCGAGCGGTGGTGGTGATACGCAGGGCAACGACGAAGCCAGTTACAGCACCGGAGACAGCGCTGCCCAACCTTCTGCCGAGCAAAGCTACCAGCTCCTCCGGCAGAGGCGGCGAGAGGCGTCCCTCAACGGAAACGCTTCGGTGGGTGTTCGCAACGTAGAGCAGTCGTGCGCCGCCGCCGCCGTTGCCGCCGCCGCGGAAGTGACGAAGGATGCGGGACGAGGACTAGACCGACGGCATCCCTCACAGGCACCGACGCCGGGAGCATCAGAGTCCCACCGCGATATTTTGCGGCGCGTGACGGTTCTGGCGGAGAGAGGCCGCCCTCACGCCGCTCTCGCGGCTCTGCAAGCCGTGGACGGCCGGAAGCGGGGTACGCGAGTGTCCGTGCCATACAGGGTGTACGCCCTGCTCTTTCGGGCGCTGGCGAATGGGTACTCGGCGCAGGGCTGTGAGGAGCTCGGGCTAGCGGCAGCCCCGGCGGAAGCGCTGCAGTGGCTGCTGAGAGGCATGGCGCGGCAAGGCTACTCGGCCAAGACTACCACCCTCAACTTCGGGCTCGAGGCCTTCGCCGTCGCTGCGAAAACTAAACAGGTGACGGCGATTGCCTTGGGCGGTGTGTTGGATGTGTACCTCTTTCGGCGGCTAGTTATTTTTGGCGCTCTCAAGTGTATCCTTAAAAGCTGAGGGTCTACCGGTGGTTCCGGGAGGGGAAAACTCGCAATGCATGTACCGGCGTATCGCTGTTGTCCATTTGCATTGGAGAGGGTTGGGTCTCTCACACACGCGCCTGGTGCTTCCTATTGACTAGAAGGAAAACCTCAATGGACCGAATGAGTGCAAGACAACCAAACAACAATATTTACGGGAGCTGACTTTCTCATCATCCCCGTTTGGTTTATGAAGGTACGGGAAGGCGAGGAGGAGGTGCGAGCGCGGGTTTGCACGGAGGCTATGGATTTCATGGAGGGGATGCGAGACGGCTGGAACGGCTTGCTTCCTCCAGTCGCACCGAACGTTGTGTCGTTCAACATTATTGTCAAGGTTAGCATCGGGGTGTTGGGTGGAAAGTCGGGAATTATCTCACCACTTTTCGTTTTTTAACATGTCCAAGTTTCCTCAGGCCAGCAACTCGAACCCTGCGCTTTTCTTGACGTATCGTTCTGGTCTTTGCTGTTTTCGGTCTCGTTTTTACTGTTATTGTCGCGACCCGTCGCCGTACCGTGTACGTTTCCCTCCGGTGTTTGGCTACAGAAAAATTTATGTTAGATCCGCTTGAACACCACCCCGTTGAAGTTGTGATGCCAGAATGTAGTAGGTTTAGACAACCATGCGCTCTCCCTGAGGCTTTGTTTCAAGTTTGATCATCTTGACAATCTTGCCTGTTTCAGAAACCTTAATTGTACCCTCCTCTTCGTTAGTCTTCATCCCCTCTATTTCCTGGCTGCGATATCTGTTGCTTGTGATATATCCCCGTCGTTACGGTTAAAGCGTGTTACTTTCGTTTGTGTCATGCGCCGTGTGTGTTTGGTGTCCGCTGGTTTTGCCGCGCTCGCGGGATATGTTCTGCACCAGGTGATGTGTCGGCTGCAGATGTTCGACCAAGCGTTCGAGGCTCTGGAAGTCATGCAAAGTGGGGGCTTTGAGTGAGTACATGCGTGTCCTGTCTCGTCTTGCGTTTTTTCAGCTCTTGTCTGGCGGTATAACGAGTTGGTTTTGTCGTCATGTCCAACAGCTGTCGGGTCATACGCTGAAAAGCTGATTTTTGCTTTCTGTCATAATAAAGAGCGAATTTCATGCACGAGGGCTTTGAAACGCCGCCCAGGAAGGCGCTCGGCGACGGCTGGCGTGGTATCCTACGAGCTAGGTAGCAAAAAGGAACGGGCGGAATATTGCCCCCGCCTCCCAACGTGCGCATCTTGGCACTTCCTCGTCGCTTTTCCTGGTCCGCTCATCTGCCTCTTTGCATTAACCCCTGTTTCTCCACTACCCAGGCCTGACCGATTCACGTTTTCTACCCTCATACACGGACTGGCTAAGGCCGGGGACAACAATGGGGCTTGGGAGGTACGAAAAGGCGTTCTCCCACCCGTTGTCCGACATTTTTTTCGAAGTTGAAATTGTCCATTCGTGAATATCAACTCAAGTCTTGTGTGGAAGTGTGATCTTCGATGAGAAGAGAGCGCCCACCATGCCCTGGTTGTGAAAGGTCACTTGGTCAAACGTTTCTGTTCGCCGCGCCGTTCCAAAGCGGCACCGAAACGTCATCTCGGTGTGTTATCCAACGTTCCTGTTCGCTGCGGTAGCTTCTATTCAAGCTGTGTTTCTACCGCTATTAATACGTGCGGCTGTTTCGGCATTTTGGTCAGGTCATGGTGGAGATGACCAACAGGGGCATCGCGCCGAACTCGATAGTTATCGACGGGATAGTAGGCGGCTTCGTGCAGTCGGGCGACGTCGGGGAAGCCATCTCCTTCGCCCAACACGCTTACAATCAGGTGAACCACGCAGCACAAGGTTGTGCTTTTTTTTTGTTCTCTTGTTGGTTTATTTCTCTCCTCGTACTAGTACGCCGGTAAATCGTGGGTTGCATGCATCCAATGGATCGAGGCAACAAGAACCCAGCCTCCCGCACAATCGTTCCGCACGCGGTCGGGTGCACACGGCTTGGCGAGCCGTGAGACTTTCGGGAATTCTACAGTCATGTTACTCCTCACATTTGTCAAGTCCACCTACAAATCACCAGCACATCCGCCCAAAAACGGCGACTTCCGCGCCTCTCGAATCCCCCTTCCTTTCATGGGGCTGGGTGATGCCTTCGGCTAGAAACGCTCCATATAGCTGCTCCCTGAGAACGACATCGCCTCCACGTTGTGGTCCCGATCTCCACTGTTGCATCCGTCGGCAATGGGACGCCCACAGCAAAAGCCGCACGACGACTTCAAACTCCCCGTCGCGACATCCTAGGGATACCTGCGGTTGTACATTCACCGCAAGACTCTGTAAATGACACGTGATTGAAATGCTGCCGCTTCCACATCTGAGTCTTCTTAGTATCTGGAGTTCATCGCCACCAGCTCCGCATCTCGACCGACGAAACGGACGGGGTGCTGTCGTGTCCGCTACCATCACTACTTCCGTCGAAGATCTCGGTGCTTGTAGTGCAGTCGCTACCGTAGCGTACTCTTCGCTCGGCATCGCGAGCAGGTTACCAATGTCATGTCCCTCGGCTCCAGCGGCGTCACCATCATTGCTACCGTAGGGTGCATAATACGTCACAACCCCCGTACCGATTTCCGAAGCTCGTTAACTCCACAGCAGAACAAGTGGTGATGCCAGCAACGGCAGCATTGGAACTGTCTCGTCGTGATCTTTCCGAAAATGCATGATTTTTTTTCGGCATCGTCTTCGTTGTGAACCAAATAGAGGTTTGAAATTCGGCCGAGAGGGTGTGGTTTCTTATGCAACGGACGGTATGTTCCTTGCTGATGTCCCCACGACGGCTTGCCGCCGCGTCCCCGACCGCCCTTGCCGCGTCCATCGCCACAGCGTCGGTCGCCCCCGCCTTCGCATACGAGTGCATTCGTAACCGATATTTCCGTTCGGGTTGTGGAGCGTCCTGTATCGGTCGTAGCTTGGCTTGAAAACGATGTCCCGAATCTCCCATGCGTACTCGGTTTGAGGAAGAGAAAAACGTGTCTAGATAGTGTTAGCACCGGGAACCTCGCCTGCGCTGATGAAATTCTCGTGTGGGTCCTCGATATCGTAAGAATATCTGCACTGGGTTGGTATGGTTCCTGATTCTTAAGTTGGATTGCGCATCTGTTTCATGCACGCACCCCTCTGTTTTCGTCTGAGTATCACACCATTCTCGTTGCCCTCCCTATACTACCGCGGGTGACATCTGGCAAAATCGACGTTGATGGCTCGAGACAGGAATGTCCACGCCAATGTTTGCCTCTCGTATTTCTTGGCCGACCCTCTGATTCACTCCATACAGTTTCCCTCAATGCGGGCCGCTTGTGAAAGGGGGTCGAGTTCGTGGGGTTTCGTATCCACACGCATCTAGCTGCTTCGAAAACGAATCGAAATATCCATCATTTCTGGACGTCAGTCTCAGTCCCAGATATGAACGATCCAGACCGACATGTGCATAGGAGGGCTGCTCGCCATTGGGGCAAAGCCTGTGGCCGGGCCCTCTACTATCGAGCTCACGTCGGTCGGCCTCAGCTTCACCTTGGCTCTCATCTTCGCCAAATACCCCTCCTTGCTGTGTCCACGGTGACACCCTCACCTGACTCCCCCTGCCCACGATGCTGGCTGGCATGAGCTTGGATAGAGACAGAGACAGAGACAGAGACAGAGAGACAGAGAGACAGAGAGACAGATGTGGGGAAGCACGCGCACGCCCCAAGAGTCCAAGACGGTGGTCACTAAGATATATATAACTAGCCGAGCCGGCACGAGGCCATCAATGTGCAGAATCACGCCAACGTCTCGCAGCAACGCGTGTCGATTGTTTTGTGGCGCGTCAAAACGTTTTGGCAGTTGTCGCGTCGGAACAAGAGTCCTCGTGTACCGCTTTCACGTACACAGGCGGTAGCATTCAAAATGCTCTCGCTGTGCCTCCCGGCGCTCACCCGATATTCCACCCGTTCACCGAGTAATCCGCGTGGGATACTACGGTATACCATGCATTCTCACGATCTCCCACCCTGCCCCGTGCTGCCCGCATACTCTCCGCGCTGCCGCAAACAGTACGGTTGTGCGCCTACAGCGGGGAAATATTGCAGGGTAGTACACGCCGCGGCGGCGCTGAACGATGGGCAGCACGAGGCTCGACGAGCAATCGTCGTGGCCGAGCAGATGTGGGAGGGTGAATGGAGAGGGGAAGGGAAGACTAGTCACCCGGTTCTGGGACACGCCAACCTGAGAAGATTGCTGGAGGAACGAGGGGCTTTCGATCAAGTCAATCGCCTTTGAAGATATCGTTTACTCTCTTATGGCTTTCGCTGTGAGCTGTCCTCGTGTGGTGCCTCCTCCTCGGTGCGGTCACCTGCAGGATTATCTCGACTCAGCTAGAGGCGAATTGGTTTCAGACCGGCGGGCTACAACGTGATGGCAATGGTAGCTGGGAGCGCATAGGAAGGGCTTTCACTCCAGCGCAACCGCTGTGTTATCTGGCCGAAGCCTTCGCGTATGTAGCTTCCCTTCTGGGCGGTACGCACCGACAACAATGCAGAGGGTCGGCTTGACTTTGACACTAGCGCAAGCATGACTTGGTGAGCTGTAAGAGTTACCATGCAGCAGCAGGGTTGAAAATGGGTTATTATAATGGTGACATCGGCGCGAAGAATCCGTGGTCGGAATTGGCTTGAAAGGGATCTCGACCTCGTTAACGCGTCCTTCGTCAGCATGAAAACACAGCACCATGATTTTGCGTACGAACATTGCGGCGTGGTTGCGTTTTTCGAAGGTGTTCCTTGCTGCCACTTTTTCCCACTCCTGTTAGGAGTGTACTTCCGGTGGATTGTGGAAGGGAATATAAAGAGCACCCTACGAAATAGGTACGGGAGCCCTAGCGCGTTCGCAGGGTGTTCGCTTGAAGGTTGCCCTAGCTCACGTTGGTAGGTGAATCCCGTGTATCAAAATTCTTTGGCACGTGGTACACGGACAACTTGCACCATGCCCCGTTTTGTGGGCGTACGGAACAGTGTTGACTAAACAACAATCCGCATTACGTGGCACAACGGAGCGAGAAATGGATGGTGATAGAACGTCGTACATGATGCAGCCATGCTCAACGCGCACCATCTGTGTGATCCAGCCGTCCTTAAACGGTCGCAATCAACGAGCAGTTGTTCCAAAATTGCAAATTGGGGTGGGTCTCAGTTGCCAAAAGTTTAGCAGTTTCCATGGAAGCAGCGGGTGGTTGCTTCCGTGGAAGTCGCATCTTTAACTTCCACCGTCGAACACCTCCCCGAAACTGTAAGATCCTTTTATGGAAGCACGGCAATTTCCATTAAAGCAACTTCCATGAAAGCTCGACAATTTCAATGCAAGAAAGTTCCACGGAAGAGATTGTCAGAGTTGGCAGGTAACCTCCATGGAGCTTTCATGGAATTTCTGCAACTTCAAGCACATAACCCAAACCCTAACTCACACCCAGCTACTCTACCCCAAATATTGAATATGGTCGCCCAATGGTTTCCGCAAGCTGGACTCGGGTCATATACCGTAGAAGTTGTGCCATATAGCTTCAATGGAAGCTGCCCGAAGGTGGTAGACTTCCATCGAATGGAAGTTAGTTGAACTCGAAGCTAGTAGAAGTCGACTTCAACTAGTAGCTTCCACGGAAGGAAGTCGCTCGTGAAATTCCCCTTCCTTGACTTCCACGGAAGTTCCTCAAGCTTCCATGGAAGTCACCTTGCTAGCGTCGGCAGAAGTGAAATTTCAACCAACTTTCATCGAAGTGGTTTTGACTTTCATGGTACTCCCACGAAGGCTTCACACATTTGTCAAAAATTGAAGAAAATCGAGCCCAATACACAATCGGCCACAAAGGTGTTTTCTTGACAAGTTTCGACAATTACAGGAACGAATATCACGTGCTGCATGTATGATGTACTCCAAGATCGAATAGACCACAGGTCGCATATCAATGTGTGGTTTTTTCGGGGCTCTGTATGATTTGTATGCTAGTCTAAAGCATATTAATGGAATTGATTTTGTAGGGAAAACTGGAATGAAACACTGACTTGCGAGACTCACATAATTCAAAGCCGGTGGTCGCATGTCGACAACGAGCCGTCCCTCGAGCGATACGTGTGCGAATGATCTGTACATCTATCGGTCGTGTCTGGTGACCCAGCCACGTAGACGTTTCGGTGGTGCTGCCGCTCGCTTCAAACATTGTTAGGCACCTGACGGTATTGTATCGTTGCTTAGTTCTACTACTAGTCTAGAAGTATTTAGAAGTATGTCACCCACCAGTTCACGCTCGGTTCAACCCCTCACCTCCAGGAGAGTGATCCAATCAAAGCTCGAACACACATATGGCCATGGCACCCCCCCACGGCTTCGCAACCTCCTATGCTGAGCACCGGCTAAGGACCAACTGCCGCGACAAAGGGTGCTTCCATATAGACTAAGGTTCCATTTCAATGGGTGGGCCCGACTTTGTACACGTGGTTCGATGATAGGTCAATGGGAAGTTGACGACGGTGCGCTCGACGGCATCACTCTCTCGACCTTGCTGTGAGGCAGCGTTCGAGCTCACGATGTGTGTTGTTTTAGATGTGCCGCTGCCTTGTGCCACCCAAGTGCACGCGCTTCACATCATCATCGAGTGCGCTTCGTACATGAACACGCCGTAGGTTTTTGTTCATTCACCTTTACCGTTGGAGCAAGTGACGATTCGCTTGATTGATTTCATTTGCGCGCCTTCGGGTGTGGACAGCTTTCGGGTGCGTCGTTTTCGTTCTTCTCGATAAATTTCCGGTGTGCTCGTGGGGCTGCCCAAAGAAGGTATTGCAGGTTGGTACTGTCGGCGGTGTCGTCCGTTGTGGTCGTGCCCAGGCTGGAGCCGAACTACGCTCATACGACGCGTGAACAGCTCGTCGTGCGCTTTTCTCTCTGCCTGGTGGGATACAGGCATGCGATGTTTTCTGAGAGCATGATCGTTGTTGACGTTTGTTTGTCATTGCATGTCAAAACCATTCGGCCTCTGTCCCGCGCTTCCTGTGTAGCCTTAAGGGTAAAAGAATGAATTCCCGATGTCCCAAGCTGACCCATGTGTCAAGGGACAGACACCCGGGACATCCCGCTAAAGCGAAACCCAAACAAGTTTTATGCCCCGATAGAAAGACGGTAACTCTTTTTTTCGGCACCGATACTGCAAATGGAATCGGACCTGTAGTCATACACTTACCTGTTCTTCTCCCATTTTTGTATCGAGATTAGACAACACGGTATATCACCCGATGCAAAAAACGGTGACATAGTCTATCCAGTCGACGTAGACTAACCAACAAGTATCGTATCTCGGCGGTTTCAACACGTAGCTTTCAGTGGCTTCTCCGCCATTTTTGCTCGACCGTGGTGGCTACGACAACTCCAGATGCCATGCAACAAAATATCCATACCCTCCGTTGCTGGGAAAGAGCCAAAGCCGAGGGGCAAAGTTAGCACCGTATGCGGTGGCTCGCAGCAGTCATCCCGAACCGCTACCGACGCCCCGTCTTTCGTTACCCCCCCGGCACGCGCATTCACTACACACAACTACACAGCTCTTCTTGTTTCCCTGTTGACTATTGCCCTGCACCAGCAACAGAAAAGGCAGGACAACACCACCACCGCCACCACCAACAAGAACACTTTCACTACCGTAAGGTTGCGAGAGAGCATACAGGGGTGCGAGCGATTTTCTAAGCATTCCTTCTCCAGGAGGTTGTCACTGTTGAAAATGGCGGTTTTGAAAATAATATCTCATCGAGATCTTTCCTGAGAAGTATCACTTGGCGCTCGCACCCTTCTGGCTGTGGAGAAATTACGCTTTGACAATCGCTCGCACCCCTGTGCGCTGACTCGAAACCTTACGGTATACCTATGTACAACATCCTTCGTCCGAAAATCGCTCGTGGCGCTCGATTCCACAGCCGAACGTTTCTCTGATCTGATGGTGGTGGTGATGCTGGCCAACTCTCTGTCAGCCGCCGTCGCGACCAAAGTGCCGTCGATGGAATAGTTCGTTGACAAGACCGCATGATCGCATGGGGTGTCGTCATGTCAATGAACTCTTCGATGGAGGAACTCTAGGTCGCGACGGCGGCTGAAAATGATTTGTCCGGCCGGCATCACCACCACCATCAGGTCAGTGCTACTGTAAGGCCGTCCCCACTCCGACCGCGTTGTGCGCACGTCCGTAGCAGCCCTATTGCTCCAGGTTTCGATCGCATGAAGTATCATGGCAATGAATTCTTCCATCGGGGGAACCACGGTCGCAACGGTGGCTGACGAAGATTTATCCGGCATCACCACCACCGCCAGGTTATTACTGAAATATTCGGCTGTGCACGCGCATGTTAACCCGGTCGCGGTGTCGTGTCAAGTCGGCGGATGGAAGTCATATCCCCCCCCGCTATCGTCGGCGCTGGTCTATCATCTCTCTCTCCTTCCACATTATTTGGACTGAGTAGGCAATTCACATGCAACTGTGCATAGTTTGAACTACCGTACAGTAATAGCTGTGGCATGCATTCATCATTGACTATTTAGGCACCACAGGCACGTGCGGTGACTAGGTGAGCTGCCGCGCTTTGAAAGTCCGAGCGACTCTCCCCCTGTAGGGTATGGCTCAGACCGTGAACCCCCTCCATCCGTCTCTGGCTGCTTCGCAAGTTACGTTTTCGGCACAACAATTTCGGCACATCTTGAGCGACCGATGCGATTGCATGATAGAGTTTGCCATGTTCTCCTCTGTCGTGGTGCGAAATCTACCATTCGTTGCACAGAAGTACTGCCGTCGTAGCCTCCTACCTTCGGTCAGAGCAGCGCGCATTGCTTCACGGCGTCTCGAGCACCTCGTGTCGTACGCAACCGTCGATGCTTGACCTGTGTCTTCCACTTCGCTGCTTCTTCTATGTCGCCACCTGCTGCATTAGCAGCGAGGTACTTTATCTGTGGTAACAATCGCAACGCAAGCACAAGAGGTGTGAAAATGTCAAGATGCTGCAGAAGGGAAACATTTTCGAAATTAAGTATCTCCCCTCTTCGAAATCCGTGTCTTGAGGGTTGGATGGTCTAGTGTGCGTATATCTCTGTTGTCAAAAAGGAAATTCGGGAGATTTGTGTCGGAAGGAAACATTCGCTGCTGATGTAACGAAGCTAAGAAGCAAAACAATTGATATTGAGTTAGGAGTTCTGTAGATAGCATTGTTTCGAGAGGACATGGGTATTGTTTCGAGAGGGTATTGAGAGAGAATTGGGCCATATCTATCGGAACTAGAATGACGTCGTTCTTGGTAGGACATGTTTGGAGAATTTTCCGGGTAAGACAGCGCTCATCACAGGCATGGCAACCCTGGGGGGACGTGTTCGTGGATTGAAAGAAAGCTTGACGGACCCGGGCATTAACGTTTGTTGAGAAACATGGTGACCACTAAACTACAAGTCAGCGCTGACTGGTAGTCTTATCCGATAAAGGCCGACCATTTGACTACGTGCACAATCATCGATGACTGTGCACGTAGTCAAATGGTCAGCCTTTATCGAATAAGTCTAGTCTAGTGGTCATCGTGCTTCTTAACACCCTGGGCACCGATCATCTAGACACCGAAGGCGCTCACATTTTTGGCTATTACGAGAAGGGACACGGTCGTCAATGTTTTGGTGACGCCGTGCATTAGCCGAAGGTAATGCGAGTTTAAAGCCGCACTACTTGCTGTTCGTGTGTCATATAGATGACACCACCTCCTCCTCCGTTTCCGTGTACTGTGCGCTGTGCTGTGGACAATCATACCAGGACCCCGTTCGACTCCGCCAGGCGAACGACGATAAGGACGGCGAGATTGAACGCCTCACGCCTCAGAAGGCGCAGCTCGCCCTACGGGTCAAGCACCCGAAGGAAGGTGAGCGTGTGTGTGACGGTGTCTACCGATGCGTCGTATGGTACAACGTAGTTG